AATATTACAGCTAATTTCCCTACCTCTAGATAATTTTATATAATCCCCCCTGCACTGCAAGGGTACTTTTTAAAATAATTCAGCATCTAAAGCCAAAACTTTTTTTTCTGCATAAGTAAAATAAATTGAAAAGAATAAGAAACCATCCAATGTCTCTCTCTCTGGAAATCTCTGACTGCACCCTGAAGCTAATGTATGACACTAGAATGGATTTTTCCATCTTAAATGTGGTTTGGTGTTTTGTCATGTGGTTCCTGTGCTGACTGCACAGCCGCCAACTGTCCTTCTGTTGGACTATTTAGCTAAATACTGCCTAACCATAAAAAAGTATCTCACGCTAGTTTCATGTTACGGCACTTCCTATAAATGACTGCTCTCCTTATTTGAAAACATTAGCGTATAGGAAAAACAGTGAGGTTACCCTATCAAACGATCAAATCATTTTTTTTAAAGTTGTATATCTTACTTGAGAAACCTGATGGAGTTTTGTTTATTTAGGCTTATTGTCCATAACCCATCACACTGCTTACCTATAAGACCCTGAGAAATTGTTAGTGGGTGCTGCAGTGACAGGCGGATGGCGCCGCTTACATCCAACGTGAAAAAATAAATAAGCAATCAGCACTCAAAACTCCTCAGTCAATTGTCTTTATTGACATGTGGACAGGATCTCACACAAATCATGACGTATTGGGGCCGCCATGGGTCTCTTCATCAGCTATACAATGTGATCACAATGTATGCCTGATGAAGGGACCCATTGTGGCCCCCAAAACATCAGGATTTTTGCAATACCATGTCCAAATGTCAATAAAGATGTCTCACTAAGGAGTTTGGAGTGCCGGTGGCGTATTTATTTTTTCACTCTGTTTATTTAGACTGCACAATTATTTTATTGTTTTATAGTCATCAGTGCGTTTATGTGATTTGTGTTTTTGTACTTGTATTACTGTATTACTGTAGATCAGTGATGTGCGGTACCTCTGGTTCCGGGTAAGGCATTCCCCAGCCTCGCTCCCAGCACGTCCACCCCGCCCCTGCCGACCGAAGCCCCACCCCTGTCGGCCAAAGCCCCACCCCTGTCGGCAAAAGCCCCAACCCGATCCCAAAGCTAGTGTGAATGAGGAAGGGAGGAGCCTTCCTGTCCATCACTTGCTCGTCACTGCTGAGGCATTGAGATCGATGGCCTCAGTGTTTTTTCTTTTTTTGATTGGACAGCTTGGACCAATGGCGCTTTGCCTTTGATCTAAGCCATCCACAGAGCTCAAGCCTCTAACACAGAGTAGAGGCTGTGACAGCTGTTTCCTCAATAGTTAGGTTACACAAGCAGTAGGGAAGCCCGCTACTGTGTAACCTAACTACCTGTCAAAAGCCGGATGCAGCGCCGCCTGTAATTAACAGTCAGCGCTCCCTCCATGACAGGTTACACAGCGGGGGGCTTTCCCTGCTCTGTAACCTGCTAGAAGCTGATCTGAATGGAGAAAAAACTGTCAGCTTCAGACTTGAAGCTGACAGCTTTTTCCTCCATAATACTAGGTGAGGCTCTGCCTCACCTGCCTCCCTTTACCGCACGTCCCTGCTGTAGATGCATGATATGTGTAGTTTGTGGAAAAAAAATTCTATTTTTTTTTTTAACTTACTGAAATAACCAAAGTGTTTTAAATGTTACCACCAAAAGGTGTCATTCTTTTCTGTTTCAGGAACGTGGCATGATATGTGACTGAACATTAATGCAAAGAGGTTTAACGTTTGCTGTGTTGCAGGCCCGGTCATAAGGTATGTTTCCGAGTAATCTAACATTCTGGTATCACTGTATAGTATGGGACAACACGACCAGCAGCCAGCAAGATACTAAACAGCATCATTATCACTAGCCAACATACAAGTGTGTGCTACAGTGTTCCTTATCTCTCTGTGCACGCACATACACATGCATCGTGAGCCAAGAAATGACTAAAGCCCTCTATTTATAAGGCAAAATACATACTGGATACAGTTGTAAAAAACACACAGCACTTCCTCCAGTGATAATATAATAATCTGGTGGACCATGATATGCCGAATGGCATCCACAGTGCAATGTATACTAGGAAGGACCCCTCATTAAAAGGAAAAGGGGCACGGGTATCTAGCCAACATTTATGATTATGAAGGAGCCCTTGTCTGTTTTTGCTGCCTTTGTTCTGTTGGGGAGATTGCCTTTCACTTCTGGTTCATGGACACAACGGGAAGTGAGAGGAGATCTCTCAAAAGGTAGGGGAAATTCCACCCCTTACCAGTGGCAGTTGACAGCCAGTTTACAGGCGTCAATGAGTCAATACTGCCATCTCCTAAATCCGTTTTTGTTTTTTACCTAATGGCGAATTTGCATTGCAGTGCCATGCCGCAATCGCGTGCACACTGTTGCAGTGTAGCCCCACTGAGTGCATTGGTCACATTTGGCAAGCAATATTGCCTGCAAAATGTGACATGCTATGCAGAATTGAATTCAATGCAACAGAATGTGTACCTGAGTGGCTGTCATGTTAGGCTGGGTTCACACCTAGGCGGATTGAATATGCACGTTCTTGCGAATCGCAGTAAAAAACCGCGCGAAAACCGCGCGTTTACGAGGGATACTTGGCTGTATCCCAATGGAACCGCCCGACCAAAACGCCCCAAAGAAGTACATGTACTTCTTTGGGCGTAGGGCGGTTTCCCGTACTCACGGAAAACCTCCCAGATGGGAACCATGCACATTGCAAATAATGGCATTTCCCTGTTTGAGCGTTTTTTCGCGAGTACGAAAGCGCGGAAAAACGCCTAGGTGTGAACCCAGCCTTAGGTTTTAGGTGGGCTGTTGGAGGGGAGTAAAAACAGACAGCTGGTTCACGTTAAACCCCCATCTGCCCCAACTGCCTACCTAAAACCCAACATGGATGCCTACGTGAACCAGGATAAGACCAAGGGGAGATTTTCCTTATATTTTTGCCCTGGTGAATGTTGTAAATGTTTGGATCACCCATGATGTTCTGTGATAATGGCTACCAGGACAAATCAAGGGGTGGAACTCCGCAAAGAGGACATAGACAGGATATAGACACCTATGATATCCTGTGATAACAGCCACCATGACAAATTAAGGGGTGCAACTCCGCAAAGAGGACATAGACAGCAATAAAAAAAATGGCAAGAGATACATTTTAAAGTGACCCTGTCACTGCCCCATGCCTACTAAGATGAACATGTTATGTGAATTCACCTAAAATGCAAATGTTGTTGCTGCCTTTCTTTTCAGTATTCCTATTTAAAGTGCATTAAAAGGTCCAACCGCACCGCTCCCCCTCCTTGCCCCTGAAGTCGCCTGTGCTCAGCGCATCAACAGGAATACTAAAAGAAAGACGGTAACAGTTTTTGCATAGTAAGTTAATTTTGAAAAAAAACTTCACCTTAGGCCCCATTCACACTAGGGCGTAGTGTGAATTTGCGTCGCAGGAACACGTTCCCGCACATTCGCAGGACATTGTTTTCCACGTTAGGCGCATGTCCCCAATAGGTCCCTGGACATGCACCAACCATGGAAAGAAGTACATATTGCATTTTGGCGACATGCGTTCCGTGCTTTTTCCTGCGAGTTTGTGAACTTGTGAAAGTGTCGGAAAACCCGCTTTTGCTTGACCGCATTTGAAGTGCCATTCCCCAGTAATGGCAACACATGCACGTTCCATGTTTATACACATACCGTGAACGCATGTTGGAGCGCGCACTTTTGTGCATGTTTGACGCGTGTTCACCATACGCCCTGATGTGAACGGAGCCTTAGTAGTCATGGGATGGTGGCAGTGTCTCTTTAAAGTAAATCTTAGCTCCAAACAACCTTTCATGTTCTAATCCACTCAATCCAGTGCACACACTTGCTTAAAAAAACATAAGTAAATACAAATTAATTATACAAAACTGACATGTGCTCTTTAAAACAGGTAATATCTAAATTAACATTAGAATAGAACTGAAGCCAATACTTTTTTTTCGTTTCGGGTAAAGTAAGTGAGAGTTTTAGCCGCCATTAGCTTTTTTGCCATCTGTATCCCATTGGGCAGATTTCCCAATCTGAAAAACCACAACAGGAACTAAGAGGAAATCTCTCCAAAGTGAGGAAAATCCCTGGTGGTCAGCAGGGTCAACAGAGCTAGTGTCCCATTTGGAAGATCACATCTATTTCTGTTCCGGTGACAACCCAAAATTTGAGATTTTCTTTCACTTTCAGTGATAACATTCACCAGGACAAATGGAGAGGGTGAATCACCTTAACAGGAACACATTTAGCCCTCATTCACACTACTAACAGCCGGCACGTACAGATCCGTGCTGCGTGCATGGCCATATCGGGCCGCTCCGTGCAGGTGATTGTGTGATTGTACGCAGCAGCCTGTTCTTCTCTATGGGAATACGCGGCCGTACGCTCACCCGAACGTCACGCAGACAGGATCCATCCTGCACCCGCACGGACATGCAGTTCGGGTGAGTGTAGTGTGAGCGTATGGCAGCGCACTCCCGTAGAGAAGAACAGGCTGCTATGTACAATCACACGCAGCACCTGTCCTTCCCGGGAACGGCCCGATACGACCGTGCACGCATCACGGATCTGTACAGGCCAGCTCTTAGTAGTGTGAATGAGGCCTAACAACGTTACAGGGGTTCTAATCCCTCACCACTATCCAAAACTAAAAAAATTAAAAAGTTTTGGCTTGCACTTTAAGTTGATTCGGATAAGTAGTGCAAACACCAAGGATGGTTTTTCAAGACTATTAACCCAGAATCCAAAAAGAAATGATTTTACTGAAGTCAGATCAAGGAAAATGATTGCTGATTGGCCGCTGTGTTATTGCATTTTCTTTATCTCACTCCTATGAAAGAAAACCATTACAGAAAAACACGAGTCATGTACAAATGGATCCTGTAATTTAGTGCTTGTCATTACAGCTGAACACGAGAGATGATATAATAAAGTGAACACTTACATATTCCTTTATATCTTTGGACTTAACAGCCTTGTAGGAATAATAGGCGGGATACAGAGTGCCAAAGATCAGCCTGCAAACAAGAAAGAAAATGTGAGCTGGAGATAATCATGCATTAATTATACTAAGGTTAATTATAAAAGAGAGAGAGACGTGGAGTTGTTGGTTAGAGCAACCAATCAGATATCAGACATTGATGTTCAGGGACAGGTTAGAAAGGGAATGCAATGATTAGATTGACCAATTTGTATGGACAGTTGTTTTCCTTTATTGCTATTTTATAAAACAGGCCCAAGGGTCAGAACCACCCTTCCATTCAATAGACTATTCATCAGAAGGATTCTCGGTTCAGCAGTGGGCAGCACTCGCTCATCTTCTGCTCCGCTCCAGCTGTGGAATGTCCCCCAGTGTCCTCATGTCTAATGCAAGTCAATGGACCTTCAGTACATAAGTCGTGATGACTCAGCCAGAGCCAAATCGGAAAAGAAGCTGCTGAGACCAGTCTAGAAGCCAGGAGAGGGCCAACAGGACTAAGGATCAGGTGAGTATATCTGCTTTTTTTAGGCCCCCCAGACAAAATAAGAGCTTAACTTACCCTTGCAGTGGGGATACCCCCATACTGCAGCAGTTATTTAATTAGCCAAGTTCTTCTTTAAGGTTATATGTCTCTGTTGCTGTGTGATGTCCCCTTCTTCACCACTTACAGGGGAGACATTGTAGTTTGGGACAGGGATAGGCAACCGTGACCCTCCAGCTGTGGTGAAACTGCAAATCCCATCATGTCTCTGCCCCTGAAAGTCAAGCCTGTGGCTGTCAGAGTCTTGCAATGCCTCATGGGACTAGTTTCACCACAGCTGAAGTGCCAAGGGTTCCCCACCCCTTATTTGGGATTTCAGCCAAGTCAATATAGAACCTACATGCTGAGTTTTTTAGAGGACTACAAATCCTAGCAATACATTATTAAGCAATGCAGAATAATACCATCATCTATAGAGGACTACAAACCCCAGCAATACATTATACAGCAATGCAGAATAATACCATCAGCTATAGAGGACTACAAATCCTAGCAATACATTATTAAGCAATGCAGAATAATACCATCAGCTATAGAGGACTACAAATCACAGCAATATATTATACAGCAATTCAGAATAACAGAATATGAATTTTCTACACACTCTGTGCTGCCACTTTGCTATAGGATGCCAGCCTGATATCTCAGGTGGAGGGTCCCAGGAGGGCTGTGGAGGGTTCCCAGGAGGGGTGCGAAGGATCTTAGGAGGGCTGTGGAGGGGCTCATGGGGGTGGTAAAGGATCTCAGGAGGGGAGATGTGTGGGCCGGCACTGTAAACAGGAGCCATGTGGTTCCTAAGAAGGCTGCCTCGAGGTCCCCAGCAAGTGTGGGATCTTATGGCAGCTGTTCCAATTAAAAAATTTGAAGAGTTGGTATCGGTTTTAGATATTGGGGCATTTTCACAAGGTACTCGTGGAAATCCCCAGTATCGGCACCGATACTGGTATCAGTATTGGTGCATTCCTAATTCTAGCACAAGAAAATATGCAGTAACCGCTCATATTATTGCTAAGCAACATAAATCCCATCACACTTCAATGAATTGAGTTTCCATGCACAGTCTTACTGCTTTTTTAAAAGACCAATCGATGCTGATATATTAGATACGGGTGGATGCTGGTGGTCTGAATGACCCAGTGCCTCGTATATCTGTTTGATATGACCAGGGAATGTGTTTTTATTAACAATACTGTACAGCTGATGTACGAAGAGGTAAAGTTGTGAAGCTGTTTCCCAGCTGAATGTTGGCCGTGTACAGGCTCTGGGTATTTGGCTGATGGAATGAACATTAGATGATTGCTTTGGGTTAATGTTTTAACACAGAGCTAGCAGATGAAGTAAAACAGCCATCTCTGAGCAACTAAAATGTGAAACATTAGGTAGGCCATGAATCACCCGACAACAGAAATCAAATGATCCGACTTTTAAAGTATACCTAGAGCCAAAACATTTATATTTATTTTGGACAGAGTAAGGAAGGGTTAAAAACAATGTCAGTCTATTTTTTGCCACTAGTGTCTTGTTCGGGAGATTTTCCATCACTTTCCATCCTGTAAGCTCAACAGGAAGTGAGAGGATATCTTGTCAACGTGTCTCCATGGGAAGATTTCTCCTCTATTCCTGTTCTGGTGGCATCTCATAATGGATTTGTCCTCACTTTCATTCCTGGTGATGTCAGTGATCAGGACAATTATGGAGACTGAGGGCTTGTTCACGCGCCATCTCAACACACCACACTGTTTTACTTTTTTTTCAACTTTATTCCATGTGTACAAACTGTACATGCCATTCAGATCCCCATGCAGCATGTCTGCATTTTTTCGCAGCACACTGCGCCACACATCACCCACTTTGTGATGCAAATCGGGCACATGGAAAACAATTGTGTTCTATGTGTCCTAGCGGTGATTGGCATTGTTCTGTTGCTGAAATACACCAATCACCACTATGGTGTGAATGAGCACTGAATCTCCACAGGCACAGACAGCATTTTATTTTTCATTTCTTTATAATATATATATATATATATATATAAACATACACAGTGTATATATTA